AAAAGTGTATATTTCATTGCCATTTTCCAAGACAGAAATAAACTATAATTATTTTGAAAGGAAAATTCCTATATAAATCTTCTCTAATTAGATTGCCCTTTTTTGCATCTCTACCATGTTAAATTTTCTTCTCCTTCCTCCAGCGTAGAAGGTCTGTCTGTTTTTGCATTGTCATTCTCAAGGCAGACACCTGGACTGCTGCTCCAGTTGCACAAGCTGCCTGCCTCCTTTCCCTGGGATGACAAGTGCCTCTTTACCCTTGTCCAGACAGTTAACAGACTCCAGCACACAGATTATTCGATCAACAGCAGCAAAGAAAATGTCAAGAACAGCAGAAAATCCCAAATCAAAACACAGGAGAGAAAGAACAGCCCTTCTAAAGATAAGAAACTATTAACACTATGCACACTTCAAGGAAATTTATCATCTTCAACACATGCAACGGCTAGTCAAACTCAAATTCAGATCTGAACATCCTGAGACGGGAACACTGGGAGGGCAGAGACAATTTCAGCTATTGTCAAAAATACAAATAGCAGCCTCCCATTGAGAGGTTACCAGCTGAGCCTGACCATGCACTCATTTCACATTTCAAACAACTGAAAAGCAGGTAGGCTTGTAACAGGAGAGAGAACCTGGGAAAAAGCACCTAGCTTCCAAGTAATCTTATGCCTTTTCTTCTTTATATACATCCTCAGATATATGAAATCTAGCCACTAAAAATCATAATATACAGAGCTCGAGAAGAAATAAATTATTTGGAAGGAGGGATGGGAAAGGAAGAGGAAAAAAACCTTACCAACTGACTGGCCTTACTGTGCACTTTTGCAGGAGACCAAGAATTGCTTCTGATGCAGCAGCATTCAGTCCTGGAGAAGTCAGACAGAGGAAAAAGGGAGGGGAAGTAAGAGGAGGGAAAGGGAGGGGATAGGAGGAGATGGGAGGGGAGAGTGTGTACACTGCACGTCAGTCTGTTGAGCCCTAACATTGGTCTCTGGAAACAGAAGAATGAAATTACTGCCAAATCAAGCTGGGAATTGGTTTGTGATGGTTCAAAATGATAAGGAAACTGGATTCTAGGATTCATTTGGGATCAAAACAGCATCAGAAGAAAGAAATGTCTATCCTCACACACAGCTATTCAGTGCACTTGAGATGCCAAACATGCTTTTGCTCCAAAGAGAGATTGTACATAAAGTCAAGCAGAGTAAAATGCTAGTGCTACAGCAAAACCCTTCCCTGCAGCTGGTGTAAAACACAGAAGGTGCAGAAGAAAGCAAGATTACATTGCTTTCCTATGGCCTTCTAAACACAGCTTGCAGCTAGCTGCAAATCTGTGAGACTGTAACCCAGATGGGAGTAGTCGTTTCAGCCCTTCATTCATCGACATCTATGTGACAGCTGCATCCAAACACAACACGCAGCACACTGAGGACAGGCAGCCCTTTTAGAAGACTTACACAACAGCCAGAATCATAATATCAGAATATCATACGCCCTTCGAAGTGAAAATATGCCAGCCATTCTCCTACTAAGCAGTCATTACAACACAGTCCCACTCCTTTAATTTAACAATTAAGGGGATAAAAAATTTAGTGCCTGAAGGAAGAATGGGAAGGGAACACTCACTGCTCAACACGTCTCATCACTACATCTCTACATGACAGAGAAAAAAATAAATAAATCCAAAGGATACTTCTCACCTTAGAGGCTTTACAGCTGGCAGCTCAAATTTCCCATTTCTCACAAGCCACGCTGATTTATTGAAATCTATTTCCCAACTATCGATTTTTTCAATCTTTATTCCCTTGAGCTAGCAATTTTGCTTCTCATAACTGTTGTTTATAGTCCTCGGTCAGATGCTTTCCTGGATGTACAACACTCCTGAGCCCACCAAATAGCTTGAAACCCTGTATGCAGGCAGAATCTCAGGAGCTCTTCAAGCTCTACAGCAGCAGCACAGTGTTATACAGCAAATGGATGATGCAACTCCACAGTGTTCTGACTCTGCAGAACAGCAGCTTGGAAAGCAGACAGGCTCAGCTAGCCCCTGCTCTTCCCACTGACTACTTTTCTTCTGTCAAAGGTAGGCTTCACTCAAAAAACTGAGGAGGATCCCAAATTACACGGTGCCAAGGGATGCAAGAGAACCTGATCAGATTACAGACATTTTTCAATTCACCATTGAAAAACAGGCTCCCATAAAGCTCTCCTTTGCTCCACATCTACAAAACACTAGGTAGGCTGTTCTAGTATCTTTTCAGTTTCAAGCAAAATACCTGTCATACGTAAGAAATACATGTTTGAAGTAATGGAAAACCCAAATCTCTTACTGTCCTAACACCATAATTCACCGGAGACTCCTGGGTTTATAAACTGCCTTTATGGCACTAGCAAAGTATAACTGACAGCTTGATCTGGCACACAGCACTCCTGTGGCAGATGCCTCTCTTATGAATTCAAAACACTTGCGTAACAGCTAACAGCCTGCCGTGCAGCTCCCCCCAGCCCTGCTCAAAAACATACATCTTCCACTCCCTGCCCTTCGCACGGACGTTCCCAGAATACAATCCCACAGATTCAGAACAAACTGAGAAGAACGTCACCCTATAGAAATGAACATTCTCCTTACAGGAAACAGAAGACAGTAAAACCATACATTCCCTTTCTGCAAGTAAAACTGCAAACAAGGTGGGCCTCGAGCCCCATGCCCACAGCAACTCACAAAGGGTTAGCATGGCTACGTTAATTCAGTTGGAAAGGATTTTCATCACCTTGCCTCTTTCCTCGCCTCTTCTGCTGTTTCAAAAATAGCTCTGGCTTGTTTGCTGCACCGCTTATGTCAGTCTGATTTTATGCCTGAGTGGATGTATACAGACAAGTTTGTAGCCCATTAAACGCAGACTACCCAGATCTGTACATACATGCACAGTCACACAAACACAAAGCACATCCCCCTCCCTCGGAGGCTATGCTGGAAAGCTGCTGTGTTCAGAGGCTTTGTGCTGTATTAAGTATGTTTATAGCAGGCCTCACATGGGGGCTAGAAAACAGATCACTACCTTCCTGAGATAAAAAACAAAACAAAACCATAAAGACAAAATAACACTACTACCCACTCCTCTTAAAGTTGATGTCTTAGTTTCAGCAGGGATGGAACTGTTTTCTTTAGAGTGTCTGGTACAATGCTATATTTTGGTTCTAGGAGGAAAAACGATGTTGATAACACACTGATGTTTACAGTTGCTGCTAAGAAGTGCTGTAGAGAGCCAAGGCCATTCTCAGCAAAGGACCCAAGTTGTTCAGCTGACTGCAACTGGCCAAAGGGATATTCCACACCATGTGACATCATGCAGAAGCAGTCTTGAAGGGGGTGAGGGTTCATCTCTCTCTCTCTCTCTCTCTCTCTCTTCCGCTGCTCAGGGGGTTAGCTGGGCATCAGTCAGGGGGTGGTGAGCAATTGCTTGTGCAACACTTGTTATATACATTCATACATATACATGCATATATATAAACATACATACACACACACATACATATTGTCATAAATGTTATCGTTTTCCTTCACTCCATCCTAGTAGATAGTTTTATCCCAACCCATGAGTTCCACCTTTTTTTTTCCCTGATCCTCTTCCCCACCCTACTGGGAAGGGGAAGGAGTAAGCAAAAGGCTGTGGTGCTCAGCCACCTGCCAGCTTAAACCACAACAGTCAAAAGTAAGTGCCTTCCCTGTGAGAAAAAGACTTTGAAATGGAAATGCATTTATCAGTGACTCAAGGTCATTTGGATGCATGCTGTTCGGTTTTTCTGTCCATTAAAGATAAACCCTCCACCCTCCCACCCCACCCCCAAGAGGTTTTGAACACTATTAACCACAATTGCCAAGAAGTGAAAGCTTTTAGGGAGGTACAGACATACAGAAATTCTGGAACTAACTACTCCTACAGAAAATTTCAGGTAAACTCATGAAATCTGAGGCGCAATTCAAATGAGATTTTTCCTACTAATGCTTTTTAATCACTGGGTTTTCCTGAAGAGCTTTATTTTTTATAATAAATCAACTTGCATTTTCCTAATCCCAGATTAATTCCATTCAAATTTGGTATCCCTCCCAAGCCCAGTAATCTAAAGCTCAACCTCCTTTAGCAAAGCTCTGCTTTCAAGACACAGCTCAACAGCTGTGAGCTATCTGATGTATTTTAAAATGTAACTTGCTTAGCAGGCCATGACTCTGGAACATTGGTTACCGTGAATCTAAAGATTTCTACAAGGAAATGCAACACAAAGAGATCTTGATTGTTCCTATGTAAAATTCAATCTATGTTAGCTACTTTGTCACTTATTATAAAAATAAATTCGTACCTCTCGGCATTTCTGTACTAAGTGCTCCCCAATTAGTTACCTGCTAAAAACCCTCTGAAATTTAAGAGGAGGAAAAAAGCATAGACCATTTGCAGCAGTCACTGTAGCATGCAGACAAGATTAAAAAGATGATGCTCTCAGGCACGGTATCTCTTCTGCTAAGAGTATCTGCATGTAAATGCAATTCTGTATATTAACAGGAAAGAGCATTCGAACAAAAGCTCAACCATGTGGCAGTGTATTAGCATCTTGACACACAGTGTATGGAAACTATGACTTCACTTCTGAGGACATTTTCTATATCAACAGCAATTTAACAAACCAGACATGCAAAGAACTGGAACAAACTGCCTGCGGAAATTGTGACATCCAATCACACAGATCTTTAATGTGAATAGAAGCAACGAATGGGTAAAAGTCATTTCTGCCTTAGGGTAGAGAGGTGAAATACATTACTGCCTGACAGACCCCTTTCCAACTGCATGAACAATATGGTTGTAACCTCTTGCCTTTTTTTTTTTTCCTGAGGCATCCTCTCACAGATTTATTTCCATCAACTCCTTTTAGCTTTCAATGCTAGCACCATGCTTAGAAATAAGCTTTGAATAAAACATGGAAATTCAACTTTATCTTCTTACCCAACCTCCTTGTTGAATGATATAGTCTGCAGAATAGTCTTCTAGATACGTCACTCCAAAGTTCACAAGTGCACTCAGTGGTTCCTGGCCTCTTCTGGTTAATTCCATCAGAAATTGCTGTAGCAGAACCAGGGGCACCAAGACCTTCAAAAAAACAAGAATTACAAAAAAATTCAAAGAACATTATCAATACTCCTGAGGCAGGTAAAACAGAAGAACTTATGTGACCTACGGAAATGGTCTGAATTTGGAAGTTCAAAGTTATCAGGGGAATATACACATCATTTTTGTGAAGACAAGATGCAGAAATACAATACAAAACAGTAGGAAAGGAGCACTTAAATCTGATAAAACAAAACATCATGGTGTAATTTGACAGTTTCACAGAAGAAGACTGCAGTGGCTTCCTGAGTACCATGTTTCCACAACACAAGATTCAAGTAAAAAGAAGCAAGAATAGGTCCAGAACTTCCAACATCGGAAGAGACAAAAAGCAATGCTATTGTTTAAAATGCTACACATCCAAACTGTTTTCAAACGGCAAACTCATACTCATTCTTTCATAGATGCATTGCATTGGACAGTCTTTTTAGAAGTTTACACTTGGTTTTCAGACAGGACGCAACCGAATAACTTGGGCTCAAACAGCTATAAGACAAATGGAATTACATCAAGCTGGCAGCCAGACTCTATGATGCTTAACACTGGCAAGCGCTGGGTTCTGAATCTGGAAGGGGGCAATCCTAGCTGTATGTAAAGAGTAAGGGACAAGAGGCAGGAAAGCAGCCCCACAGACTGTGCTCTCTGGCCAAAAGCAAGTTGAACTTGAGTTAGCAATGTGCCCTGGCAGCTACGAAAGTCAACCATACCTTGGGGTGCATCAGGCCCAGCATTGCCACCAGGCAAGGGAAGGGTTGTCCTGCTCTGCGGCCTCACCTTGAGCACTGGGTGCAGTCTGGGGCTATGAAAATGGGGAAGGGTCTGCAGAGCAAGATGTGTGAAGAGTGGCTGAGGTCCCTTGGTTTGCTCAGCGCAGAGAGAGGAGCTGAGGGGAGGCCTGATAGCGGCTGCAGCTCCTCACAGGGAGCGGAGGGGCAGCGCTGAGCTCTGCTGTGTGACAGCGACAGGGCCGAGGGAACGGCATGGAGCTGCGTCAGGGGAGGGCAGCTGGGGGTCAGGGACAGGGGCTGCAGCACAGGGCGGTGGGCATGGAATGGGCTGCCCAGGGCAGTGGGCACAGCCCCAAGTGCCAGAGTTCAAGGAGCCTTTGGACACTGCTCTCAGATGCAGGGTTTGGATTTTGTGTGGTGCTGTGTTGGAGCCAGGAGTTGGACCCAACGATCCTTACGGGTCCCTTCAAACTTAGGGTATTCTACAGTTTTATAAACTCCTCACAGCACAATAAGATTACAAGCCTAGTTCAAGTGATAAATACACAGCCCTCTCTACACTGAACTCTCTCTTGTATGCCAAATTTACTTTGTACAGAAATCCTTGCCTTCTTTCCTACCCCTTCTTCTCCTTTCAACCTTTTTTTGTATTTAACAGAACACACAGCCTTAACTCAAATGTGAATTCCTCTAGAAAATGCACTAACTCACCTCCTTAATATAACATAGTTCTAGATGCTTCCTTCTGAAATTATGTTATTGTTTGCCTTAACAACATGCAGTTGAACTTTTAAACTCTACATTTATTCTTCATGCGAGTGGCCCTCTGGGCAAAGTTTATGTAGCACTTTGCCAAGTTCAGGAAAAACTGGTATGAACTGAAGCCATTAGCATCCGAGAAAGCTTTATTACCATACAAGAGAAAGTCCTACTAATTTTACTGCATCTAGTTTGTGACAACTGCATTGTACTTCTATTCTCTGTAAATGCTGAAGAGGATCATTAGAACGCTGCAAATCAGAACGTTGTTTTCTGCCCACACAAGGTAGATCCAGGTTAATACGTTTGCTCAGATTGAACTCCAAGTGCCCCTTCCTTCTCCAGTCTCCTCTTTCAGCCTGATCTTCTTTTGTGTAAATATCTTCCATTACTATTCCCAGAAATCACACCTTGGGAACCAAAGCTGGAGGAAGAAGCACAAGAAGAGTGGGCACTTGGCTGGATTTGACATTTGTACTAAATCCATGGTGGAGTCACATTCAGATGGATCCAATGGATCCCTAAAAATAAATAAGGTATTAAAAATGCCTGTAATCTGATAAATTTAAGACATTCCAATTGATTAAAAATAGAGGGAGTCCAATACTACAGAGGACAGGTAATATTATTGTTCTGGGAAAAATAGTTAACACTTCATTCACTTAACTAGAAATGAGATGGTACTTGAATTTTAAAAGCTTTGTGGTTTCTTAGCTTTTTTCTTTTTTTTTTTTTTTTGAGTTTCTTGTAATTAATATTGAACCAGAGGCAGAAAAAGCTGCAGGCTTACTGCTATGTGAATAAGCATAAGCCTAAGGAGCAGGTCAAGGTAAGGTAAGCATCAGAGGAAACTTCAGTCTTCTTGGCTTAAAGAAAAGAAAACATGCTGTCTGAACTAGGTAAGCTTTGGATGCATCCACTTAATTCTACAACTGCATGAAGATTTTAATGTCAAAATATTTGGCATTTACTTTAAGCTGAAGGGGAAAGAAACAAAGGCAAAAAAGAAAAAGAGGCTGCTTAGGAAATGAAGAGAGTTCAAACTACTGCTTTCTTCCTTTGCCAACTTAAATATCGAATCTACCCATTCCTCCCAAATTTAGAGTCCTTTGTAGGCCTTTACAGCTAAGGACCAAATTCAAACACTGATATTCAGTTTTGTGCAGACTGACAAACACAGTTTTTAATTTCCCATTGAGATTACTGACACTTCTATCTTAGAGATCAGCAGTAGGGCAACCAGGTTTGCAAATTAATCAGGTTCACACTACTCCCACTAAGGCTAACTGCAGCTTTTTGTACTTAACAGTAGCTATGTGAATAGTGATAAGTTTTAAACCAGACCACAGATAAAATGGACCCTTAACAGTTCAAAGCAATTGCAATTCACTCCACCAGTGCACATAGGAAAGAGTAGCAGGGGCTATTTATACTGTGATTGAAGAAACACAAATACAAAATCAAGCAGAGCAAACCAGCAAACAGTTGGCAGGAGAAAACTTCTGGGGAATCATTAAAAAAAAAAAAAGTTACTATCAGAAGATTTCTGATTGTGCAAATGAAAAATTTCTGCCAATTACACTTTTGTAATCCCTCACTACAGTACATGTCTGCAAAACAAAAATTAAATAGTACAATATGCCAAGAAGATTTTGAGGAAGTTGCATCAAAGGTAATTGCCATTTCCATGCATCTTCTGACTATTTCAACAGAAAAATTCACCTTATTGTTTACAAAATTAGTTCTTACTAATTAATGGGAATCAAAGGTTAATAAAACAACATCAGTAAGATGACTGCTAACCTACCTACTACCTCAGCTGACTCGTCACCCTTTTATCTGATGCACACTAGTGGAATTTTTTTTTTTTAGTATTTACATACTATTCAATATTAAGCATAGCACCAAAACCTCAACAGTGCAGTGTTTCACTATGAGATTTCAGAATACATTTATTACAGAAGCACAAATCCCTCTAAAGTTGGTGTGGTATTAGCTTGGTTTGATTTTAAAGAGAGCCTCATCCTTTTCTTTACAGAATCCATCACTGTATCTGTTATTTCCACACTGCAGTTTCTGAGAAACACATGAAGTATTATTTTTTTTTCCTCCTGAAATTCTATTACTGAGAACCAGTGCTTCAAATTTCTACAGGTAAACTTTGCTTCTGTGGGATGTCAGTGGATGAACAGATGTTCCTACACATATGTTTACCCAGCAATATTTTCTTATTGAGATGAATGCTCACATTTTAGTGACTGAAAATATTCCTTCACATGACAAGCCCTTGTAAATTAATCGCAACCCTTCAGCAGTTCAGACATACCACTGCTCTCTGGAAAAGGTCCACATTTTTAAATGGTAAAAATAGCAGCTACATCTCAAAGCATCTTCTTTATGTTCCTGAGTAACGAACAGGTTCGGTGAAAATTAGCATGATGAAAAATGACTCCTTCCCAAGTGTAAAGGAGGCAGATCAAGCCTTTGTTCACATTCAACTTGCAACTAACCTAACATCACTAATTTAATGCAATACCTACCCAGAAGCACATGCTTACCTTATGCTGTGTCTCACATACACATAACATCAGGTAAGATTAGCAAGGACTGCTTTGGATCTGCCTTGTGCCACAGAGATACTGTGCTGTTAGGGGACTGGTGTGACTCTCTGAGCACATCACAGTCAATACATTAAATAGGAGGAGCTTTTTTACATAAACACATATAATGAAAGATACCTATACACACACATGCACAAATAAACGCAAGATCTGATAACAAGTGAAATCACAGCAGAAAATCAGTTAATTCTAACTTAGGTTCCTCACCAAGTCCAAGTTGCTTCAAGGGGCCACACAATTTTCTTCTCGACAGCAAAGAGTCAGAAATTTAAAGTGAGATTCTCAGTTGTAGGCTACAAAAAGCACAGACATCTTGGTACATCACAGATGTACCACCCAGAAGTCTATCTGTGGGAAAACCCTTCTAGATTTTTAACCCTTTCTCATCTGCCACAACTACTGTGTTTTCAGTTTCTGCTCCAACCAAGCAATTAAAGGATATGTAATATCCAGGAGCGTGTAACAGCGAATGATGAAAAGCTTTTCTGCATCATTCTTAGCAAACTGACAAAAACAAGTTCAACAGGAGATACACCTTTATGTAAAACCTGAAGAAGTGTTAGGAAACTATCCATAAGTAACTCTTCTAACAGGAGAACTGTGTGTCTTGCTTCCTCTATCTCATCTTTTTCACTATTAAATACTATCAACTTATTAATTTGTATTTCCCCTCTTAATGCAGTCATGCCAAGGACATATCTTCACTGCTTCCCACACTCTTCTTACAGATATTTTCTTCCAGAAATATACCAGTAAATTTTCAAGAGCGGACAAGTCTTCTGGTAGTCAGTTTAAATGCATATTCTTCAGATCTTCACAGACCCAAGGCCAGCACCACTTCATTTTGCTGCTATACATGCCTGCTAATTAGACCTAACACTGCATGTCTATTTCTTGCTACTTTTATTATTTTTTCTAACAGCTTCTTCTTTAGATTGAGAATTAAGTCACATTAAAGTTGGAGGAAAGGTACTTCGATCTTTTCTGTTATAAAACATGGCTCTGCTTAAGACAGTAAAGGAATTTAAAAGGAAATGAAACCAAGGAAACATATTCCATCTCCTCAAAACAAGTATTATTAAAGGAACTGCTAAACATTCCTGAAGCATCAAGCTACCACAGAAACAATATAAACAGATGCTGTACTACTACACAAAATTTCCACTCAGGTTTGCTTGTGGACTGCAACAAATGTTACAGGTAAGTAAAGATGATGATAAAGAAACCTTCTGGCTAATCCCCTCCATCAAAAGCTGACAAGAGAACAAAAGCTGTCTTCAAGAACACATGTTGCACAAAAAACAGCAACACAGGTTGAATCATAAATCTCCAAATCAACCCTCCCAGGGCTACAGTTGCAAGAGGAGATGCAGTAGGGAACAAACAAAGCTCAGTCCACTCCCTCCATCAAGTGGAAAGTAAAAGGTGCTTATCTTAAAGCACCTCCTTGAGAACCAGATTTCATGGTTACTTTCACTAAAATGTTATGAATCATAACACAACAACCTGAAAGCAAGCACAGCAATTGTAACTGCCATAGCCATGGGCTTGAACTTGTCAAGCAACATTAACAAACTGCTTTAAAAGTGCCCACACCCTTTCTTAGATGATCAGTTTCTGAAATAAGCAGTGGAATCTAGTTAAGGAAATGAAATTTTAAATCAGATTTCTTGCTCTATTTTAACTTTGAGACTAAGTTTTAACATTCATTTGTCATTAAGTTTGCAAATAGTTATTTCATTATTTTTCTGATGCACACTGAACCTTTCAGAAAATAACTAATTATGAATTGGAATGATTAATGAAAGACGAATTCTACTCATTCTACTTTCAAGCTATCACAAGGCAGTTTGCTTACAGATCTTCACGTTCTAAAGAAAGTAAAAAAGTGTGTCATTTGAGACAACTACTCCTGAAACCAGGTATGCACACACTCTCCTTACATATTGTGAACAACTGAAACACTGTGAGGATGCTAGCAATTTTATTTTGAGCCTGAGTTGGAAGCAGAGAGTTGGTAGACAAATATTATGAAAACATTATTGTCTCAGATCGCATTTGAAACTGCTAGAACAATAAGCATATCTTGGGAAATTAATTATTATTTTTTTAATAACTATTGCAAAAAAATTATGTCAAGCAACAATTCTAACATTTCATTTTACTGTAATAAAGGAAGATTGACCGAATACTTCAATTAAATCACTTCTGGCTAAATTATCCCAAAAAACTACATAGTATGTCTACATCCCTTATTAAGAAAGTACGTGTTACTACACACTGAAAACAAGCAAGTTCTTTTTAATTTTGGTCCTCTGTAAAGTATAGCTGCCCGCTGCAAGAAACACTGTGGACATCAAATTGATGCAAGAGATACCAAAGTCAAAGCCACTTATTCAGTACCTTGTTCCATCCACTGGCATGTGCGGCTGCCTCTTGTGTGCGCTCTCGATATTCTTGATATGTTACTGGCCTGCAGAAGTTAAACCAACACTGAAAGTTATAAAAGGAAACAAAAGAACAAGAATAAAATAAAATTCTCAGTTTTCTGATAATAAGGTTTTTTTCACATATATTGCAGCAAGTAATTTTCAAGAGCTAAAAAATCTCATATTTCACCAGCAGCAGTTGGGCAAGAAGGCATCGCCTTTTTCCAGTTATACGATTTCAAATAACTGGTTAGGTGAGTATTAAAAAAAATCTGATAGTCTACAAATTGAAGGATATTAGAGAAGTAGGTTCTCTGACTTGCTACCAACCAACATGCACTTGGCAGCATTAACATTATGTTAAGTATTTAGCTGCAAGAGACAGCACTTTTGATCGCGAAAATAATCATCGTATTTCAGTAGACATTTCAACAAAGACTTCTCATTTTAAATCTATCACACCTCTAGGTTCTCTGAACTGGGATGATGAAATTACTCTCTTTCCTCCAAGATCAAATAGTATCTTACAGGCAACAACAATGAAGACTTTGTGACAAGTGATAAGAGAAGATGTGCTGCCTCAAAAGCAGTTGTCCTGAAGCCAGACCAAGACAGAAGGCAAGTTTAGACTTCAGTTTAAGGCAGAAAGTGGTATCTGATGTTGGAGAGAAGAAATGCTAACTGCTTAGTGAACTTTAATAACCTTCCAAAATCTAACAGGCTTGCTGTACTATAACACAAAGATATTTGCGTATAGGCACACAAGAGCAAAATATAAAATACTAGCAAAACAAATATTTTGTCAAATAATGCTATAGTAAGAAACACTGGTGAAAGAACAAAATAAAAGTACACTGGGGAAAAGATAATTTGAGCTTGTCATTCTAAGTGCATTCTCTTAACTTCCTTGGTACATTAATCCCTTTAGAATGCAAATCCAAATGAATCACTAGGATGAGAAGAGCAACAACAGCTGCAGGAAGGATACTACTGAGAGTCTAGACAGTACTTCTAGTTCACTTTACAAAAAAATATGCATGCCACCACATTTTCATAGGCATTTCAGACTTCATATATATATTTACAGAATCATAAATCACTATGGTTGGAAAAGACCTCCAAGATCATCCAGTCCAACTGTCCATCTATCACCAATACTTCTCACTAAACCATGTCCCTCAGTACATCTGAATGCACAGTTTTGTTAAGGCAGATAAGTGTCTGCCGTTTCTGGAGGAACATACTAACACATCTTTTGTTGCTTAAAGGAGAACTTGTACCCTGCAAGGCATTTTTTGTTGTTAAATAATTTTTAGTTTACACAACATTAAACTTACATTTTCATCCTATCAAACCTATATACAGAAACAGACTGCATATGTATTGATTACTGAAAGTTAAATGAAGAGTTTTCCTGTGGATGAGCCAGTGAAAAGAGCCAACTGCCTCCATCTGTCTAGTCAGATGTTACGTGTGACCTCTGATGGTGAATCCAGGGTCGATTTCATCAGTCTTAAATAAAATTGGACATAAAAATCAACAACCATTATAGCTTCTACAAGAAGACAACAACCTAGTTAAGGAATCACAGGCTGAGGTTGGAAGGGACCTCTGAAGGTCATCTGGTCTAAACTCCTGCTCAAGCTGGGTCTCCTACAGCAGGCTGCCCAGGACCATACCCAGACAGCTTTGGAGTTTCTCCAAGGACAGCAACTCCACACACCTCTTCAGAAACCTGACAATTCAAGATCTTCCCTCGTTCAGAAGGAACGACTTTCAAATTAACAACATTGCAGAAGTCTGCCGTGAAGGGAATTACCTTCACAAGGATATGAGATGCCTCTTCAAAGCCTGTATGGCATGCTCAACCCCATCTATGAGACCTGAGTTTTTTTGCTAGACACTGATATCTAGGATACATTTCATGAGCAGTGGAGAGAATAATACTAGTAATTCTCAGCTTCCTTTAAGTGAATCCATAAAACAGCCTCAGATAGCTATTTGATAATCCTGTCTCTACAACTTCATTTGTAACTGTCCTAACGTAGCACTCTACAGCTCCAGCTCTCTACAAATACATTCTAGAAGTCTGACATTCTGAACAGAAAGGAGTACTTTATGTGGATCCATTTAAACGAGGCTAGTAATTCATATTAGAATAACAAGCAACCACAGCAATTTTACAAGTTTACAAATGACATTAACCAAGATAGCAGCATGGCAAGTACATGTGCTATTTAAACAATAAGATTAAATGGAAAGGACAGCTCCTAATGCCCCAAGGTTAGCTCATGGAGTCACATTTGCATCAGACCCGTGTCCTAAAAGGTTGCCATAAAGCATCCACACACCTTCCCTTCAAGATGACTCTCCCACTCAGACTGGGTCAGACTATTTATTAAGCCTCCAGCTCTGCTCTTAACTACTAGGTAGGGCAAGTTAACATGGCTACAACCCAGTATTCATAAAATTGGCAATGGCAATTGGCAGCTCTCAGCTTCTGGTTTCACCAACTAGTCAAAATACTTCAACTGGTCTCAGAAGCTCAATGATAAAAGCTTGGAAAATTTTCAGAATTTACATTAATCCAAAGAGAGGAGCACAAAGAAGTACTCACAGATTAAAACACAAAACAAGAACATAACCAGATAAAGAGACACTGAAAAAGAGAAATGCAATACAGAATGTAGTGTTATCTTTAGCATTTCAGTAGCAATCATAACACAAAATCCAAACACCTTCCCTTTGAAAAAACAAATGGAAACTCACTTGCTAAGCAAGCTCTCTAGTGCTTTGTGCAGATGTTCTTTCAATTCCTGGGATACTTTCTCCCCCAAATGAGCCAGGCAATCTTCTATTGAGCTTTCTGGATTGGCAGGACTGAACACTGGGGAAGTGTGGCAGTCAAATCCTGTAGTAGTAAAAGCTGAAAGAAAAAATACATAAAATAAAGTAGACACGTATAAGAACAGCAGTCTCAGATTTCTCACCCCATCAGTTAAACACAATTCATATGATGGAGAAAGAAATGAAAACTCCATAGACATAGCATGCTTCGAACAAATTTTAGTAAAGCGAGTATGTTCCAAATGTAATCTGGAAGTGACACCTCCAAGTCAGAGATGACTGTAAGCTGCATTTCTCCCCTCTACCCTTATCTCACAACTAACCAGCAAATTAGCAAATATTCTCATTTTTATGCTAATTTTTAAGCCAGTCCTGATGGAGCATTGAAAAAGCCTCTTTTCCATGGTAAAATTTGCCCACTTAGGAATTTCTGCAGCAGTACTACAACATGTCTTTTTAAAACAATACTCTGTTAATAAACCTTTTCTTTCTCTGTTTAAAATTTCTCAGAAAGGCCTATGTGGATTAAGATAACCAGATATAGAGTCATTCTAGTTCATACTTCCCATCTGAAATGCAAAGCAGACTGGTTCCAAACTGTCTCTTGCTGGGAGTCCCATAAAAGCCACACCTACTTCTTAAAGCATGTCCCAAAAAATAAACTGTGGAGGTGAGAAATGTGGTGGTTGCAGTCCACACTCCCCAGAATTCTAGTTGTTTCAGTATGTTTACACTTCTGTCATGGAGCAGCTTAAGGGCTGTTTACATTTCATTATTTATAGCAGTCTAATGAAAGCAGTGCAATTGTTTGCTTTGGCTAGACTGCACCATTCCACACAGTCACATTTAACTTCATACAACAATGTGTAAAATCTTAGCTGGAGAGGGGAGGTGAAGAGATTCAATGCATCATTCAATGCATAAGTATCTCTTTAACTAGAGCACTTGTTACAAATTAACCACCATTACACTGCATAGAAATTATCAATTGCGAGGGGGAAATTTGAAGAGCACCTTCCAAGATCTCTTCATCAAGATGTTTTAGCTCCTCCTCAATTTCTATTTTAATCTTTTCCAAAGCCTCTTTCTCTGAAGCGTGTTGTGCCATAAGCTGTTGTTGAGTCCCTAGAAGAAATAAGAGAAATCATTCCAATGCAATCTTTCAAATAAGGTAAATAATGGAACACGATATCGAAATACTAACAGTAAAGGAATTCAAGGTGAAAATTTTATTTCAGAAAGCAGCATGATATGTGATGCCTTAAGTGCATTTGTTAAGTAAATTTCATTATATGAACCACAAAACACAAAGTTTGACACTTCTGGAAGATAGAAAATGAATATTAAAAAATAAAAAATAATAAAACATTAGAAATCCAGACCTGTAAAGCCACAGAGCACGTAACAGCTTTAAAAACAACTTTATCATGAATTTAAGACCAAAATCAACCCAAAATGAGCATGAACAAGTCACCATTAAAACTGACTTACTCATTATCAAACTACAGAACAAAACAGGTGTTCTCAGTCGTAACTTCAGCTCAACATTTATTTTAAATAGCAAAATACAAAGTTTCTACTGATCCCTGCAAAATCTACAAAAACACTCTGCTTTGTCAATGAAAAGTTCTGACAAGATATCAACTGTACATCAGCTCACTGCTTGTTGGGAACATCAGGCCACAATTAAATCACTTAGTACAGGGTTCATAAGTAACAGCAATGACCATGGTCAGTCAACTGTCAATGCTTATTTCCTAATTACATCATTTAAAGACATGAAATGGCTGCATGTTCCCAAATACCACAAACACATCTTCTGTGTCATTTGTCACAAGAAATTGTTTCAGTCCTACCATTCAGGATTATATATAATTTTAAGCATCTTCATTATTATTTTGTGTATGTATATAAGCATAAAGAGGAACTACAATCTGTTTCTAAACAGACATAAGTATTTTAGAACATTTGAACTGCCTTCTAACTGTCAACATTTCCAGTATAAGGCAGTACAGCAAGTTGCTGGCTGCTTTCTGGCACAGGCAGTGGTGCAGAGGCTAGTTTAGCTGTTTTCTCTTGGTGTTTTTCATCTTCAGCATTTGTCTTGGTTTATTCCATCAGCTTTCAAACATTTCTTTAAATTCTATTCTGAAAGAACACGAAAACTGTTCTAATAATCACTGACTCATTTTCACCATACATCACTGAGCCAATAGCCTACCACTGCAATTTTCTTTCCTCTTTCGATTCCTTAAGATGTCCTATTTAGAGCTAACTGTTGTATCTACATGGACCTAAAAGTGAGCTTCGCATCAACTTACTCCCAAAATACATGAATTGAAATTGACCACAAAACTTTTCTTAAAAACCTCACTTTCAGCCATTTAATTCCCAAAGTTTTGGGATAATTTGGGCTAATTATTAGTCCTTGTTAGCCCTGAACTCTGTTGCTTTCAACAGTTACCCAAAACACAGTTTCTTAGCTCTCTTACTTCAGTATATTAGAATTCTCCTCTGGGACTAGTGTGATCTAAACACCAGCTCCTGGCTGACCTTCTGATAATACTGCTTGTGCCCACTCTTTCCTCACTCAAACAGCTTTCTAGCACTTCTTCATTTCTGTTTGGAAAACACTAAACCTGAATGTGGTGCTCTACAAACAACTGCCCATTTTCTTTGGTTTATTTCTATTTATATCTGCTTAAATGTACTGTAAATACTGTATTACCTTCCCATTTTCTCCACAATGGAGACACAGCATCACCGGTTTTCACATTGGCACGTGAAAGCCACAACAACAGTATACACACAGATGTGCAGTAAAGTACACCAGGCATATTTCTGCATTTTTAAATGCTTGACAACTAGCTTGCAAGGTCTCTTACACTTGAAAGCTATGTTAAAAATCCACAGAATCAACTTACCAAATATACTAATGCTCTTTCTGATAGATAGCTGTGAGACAAATTCTTGCCAACTAACACGTAGGTCAGTGTAAAACATTTCTTTAAGTGAAGAGCCCAAAGGAACAACAGACAGTCAATTAAATTCTATTTTACTCAACCTCACAATTATGTCACCATCACCACATTCAGAAGAACTTCATTTAATTTCTGAAATCCCTTCTCAAACAGTCTGTTCTGTCACTCTGAGCCATAAATTCCAGAGAGGAGCAAACTGTTCCTCCTTCTGGTTAATGAACAGACACTCACTGACACCCTGTCAACCCCTTTACGGCTGACTCTTTAAAAAACCATACCACTGCTTCACAGTCAAGCACAACAAGTATGTGCAAGTGCAAACTCTTATTTTAACCTGTGCTTCACCCTGTACACCAAAAGGACGAGGGTATGCAGGAGAGCACTCGTTCTCACGGGACTGATGTGATGATGATCACACATGACAAGCTGTCATACTTTATAAGAAGTCACCCGGAAAATGGAAGGAAGAGAAATTCCACTGCTGCCAGCATACAAAAGAGCTGTTTAGATAATCAGCACTGCAGTCAATGGTTTCCATCTCGTAACACCCACAACTTTGCAGCTGCTGCTGATTCCAATAGCACCTGACTATTCAGTCATGCCAAAAAAAAAAATCAAAAACCTACCGCTCCTGGATGAGTGACTTTGCACTGTTTATTATCCTAATTATCGACGGACTTCAGCTTTCTGCATCTCACATACATAGTGACTCTGACAACAAAAAAATGCATGCAGTATTGGGAGAATAGTGTGTTCCAACTGCAAAGCTCCTAAACAAGCAGCGTCTTTTACCTTCTTTAGACAACTTCCATGTCAGTTGGCAAATAGGTAGAAGAAAGCAGTAAAAATAACTCCTCTAGATGTTCATTTGTTAATACTGCAAACAGTCATACCAGAAATGGCACTTGTAAGATATACAAACACTGAATGCTTCTGTATGCTGAAAAAAAAATTACAGGTTTGCCTACTAAGAGCTTTTGCTAAACTGACTCTGAAAGGCCTCTTTCCAATCCAAAGACGGAGCAAATTTCTGTTACACATGCTTACAAGAAGTGCATTCTACTTTCTATTTATGGAACAAATGTTCCCTTTTCATAAGTATTTTTTGTTGTTAGGATTTTCTTTTTCAGCCATATACAGGTAGCCTGCAAAGTAGGGGAAAAAAGGTTTCAAAAGTTCCTCAGGCACAGCATGGCTGTCCATCAGACACTGTTGCCACTACCAACAAATACAGTAGTGCAGTAAGTTCTGCCAGTATGGCCATTCATTCCAGAAGTTTAGTAACAATACAAGACTAACCTGTTCCCCAAGGTTCAGCCTTGGAGGAGGAGGGATGGGAAGCCATGCATTAATTACAGAACCAGCATTGATTCTACAGTGTTTGTGTTAACTAAAGCTAGCAAGACAACAGTAGCTACAAGGAGAGACTAAAGGCATTACACCTCTTTTCTTTTCCAGCAAGAATGCCTCTGATGTCACAGATTGCTTCTGTGTGTGCTGTTTTTTTTCTTTAATGCCTGTCATTTTAATTTACCAATAACTCCATTTTTTAGTTCTTTCTTAAGATTTTAGACAAACTTTCATACAGTCAACATTCAATTAGAAATTTACTCTCAGCATGACTAATACTCCTCTAATACCTCAGACTTTTTACAACAACAAGGAAAAGCGAGCACCTAAAATTTCTGCAATCATTGAGAAGTGATGAGAATATGGCAAAACTCTTTCTAAATGTATTTGTCTTTTTTCTTTTAGGAAAAGCATGTGCATCACTCCAGCAAACTCTAGAATACAGACACACAGAAGTAGCACTTGAATGTAGAAGATTTTTAAAAGCAGCTCTTTATAAGCCATAAGATGATTCTGCTTAAACTAATATAGGAAATATATTCTTCCCAAAAATAGGAAGAACCAAAAAGACACGAGACATTGTCAATTAGCAGCCTAATGTTGGCTGAGAGGAGTCCTTATTAAGTGAGAATTCATTTTCTAGGAAGGACTACCTTTTTCTTGTCCAAGTCACACCCTAAAAACTCCCTTTCCTTGCCTAAGCTGAGGAAATAGCTTCCCTGCTACCACTGAGTTGCTCCAACATACGACGTTAATCTTTTCAGACTGTGACCTTTCAGCTCAAGTATGTATGTTTTGCCCTAACTGGAAAGTTTCTAAGAAATCAATCACACATCTAAGTTAAAAATACCTCAAAAACTCCCCTAACTTCTTATAGACCAACAATGGGCACTACAAAGGTTAAAAGAAGATACAAGGACAGAGTACAAAGAAAACCAAGATAGACTACAACAGCCACTCCAACAGCCAACTGCTGATAGAAAATCTTGCAACAAGAAGTACCCCACCCATGATGGTCACTACCACATAAAACAGATAGCAATGTTAAACATGGGATGGCCACTATGGAGCCTTGAGCTCACCCAAAATGCACTAAGCCTATCATCTCTGCACAGCTGTACGTGTATCTTCTGAGATGTAACAGAACTCACCTCAAACTGAAGAGAAATGAGCAAATAAACATCAAACCAATTTCTCCCATCATCCCAGTTCAGCACTACTCAGCTGTCAGATTTGTTGTGTGGGAAATGATCACAATGGCTCCAGCCTTTGAATGTTTAGAGCACTTCACTTCACATGGTAACAAAACATCGTGCAAAACAGCTGGATTAAAAGTACTGTGGAAAAGATGCATCTCAGGGAAAACACAAAAGTGACAAAGTTTTGTTCACCTCTTCTATCATCCGTGCTACCGTGTAATGGTGGCCTTGACTATCAATCTCTTGGATGCTATGTGAGTTCAGGGATTAAGATTTTAATTAAGATATTAAGATTTCTTATTCAGGAGACTGCTGAAGGAAAAAAAAACACAAAACAGAAAAGAGCACCTCCCTTGAGAATCCTTGCCACGTGGAATGAAGTCAAATAATGGGAGAGTAGATCAAGAAAGCAAATACGCTAAAAATTGCTCCTTGTTTAAACACAAAGACGTGTTTATATTATAAATACATCGAATCACAAAATCGGAGTATTTCAACTCACTTAAAAAGTAAGTACTGTTAACAGCTGCAGCGGACTGAAAGTTTTCGTTATCAAGGGAAATGATGTAGAAATATCTTCCAGTGCTTGGTATTGTTATTATTATTTTCAGTGTTTGAAACAGTAGTTACAGACACTACAAGAGTTCTGGAAAAATAATAAAGCACTTCTTCACAATTTAATAAACAAGTAACTGACAGCTTCCACACACATTTTAAATGATTGCATTCACCAGTTGCTTCAGACTGTATGAACTTACACAAATGATATTTTATCATGTATGCAACAGTAGGTTTTTTGGAGCAATTTATATTTTCACCTATAAGAAAATCTACCAATAAGTGGCAGAATTCATTGCTAACAGGCTTTAAGTAGGCTGAATTTGGGTGACTGTTCTGCCAAAACAGTATTAAAAGTAACCTCTAAAATTACTCCTTGGTTCTAAACTTGCTGGATTTTCCTCTGGAGACACCAAAATCTACCAGAGAATATTGCAATGAAATCAACCATATCAAACCATAGAGCCATCATGTCAAAAGATTATGCCCAATGAATCTTCAGAAGCCTAGATAACTGCAGATGGTTCTCTTCTTAGTCCCTGCACTGAACAGCAGTTACCTGAATTAAATGTTCAAACTAGTAATCAGATGTTGACTTAAAAACTGTCCTCCTTTGGCTGAAGCCAGAAGTGTTTTTAGCTGTTGTAACTGAAACCATAATTCTTGCAACAAACTCCGATCCAATCAAAATGTCCCAAAGGAAATACAGTGAGGTAGATATCCATGTAATTTGTCTGAGGTTTCCCTTTACTAAATCAAATCCCCTGAAAGCAATCACTCTAGTAAATATATTAGGTCTGAAAAAAATGAGAAACAAGTGCCTTAAAGATTTTACTCTTACTGAATTTTTGGAATGGAAAGACATGGAGAAAGAACTCTCTAGCATGAGATGCAAGAAAGCTGAGGTTTTAGGGAGATGGCTGTAGCAGGTAAATGGACAAAAGCATTCAATTTCTCCTATCATGAGATGAAGTAGCACCATTAGACTCTAGTTTAACTGGACTGCAGAAGTTCCACTGAAATTTGGGATACTGGTGAAGGGGTAGATTCCTGAAAAGTATACAAATACTAACTACACCTGGTAAATATATATGTATTCATATTTTAGCATTTTGTATGTAATGGAAAGAGACGAGATCCTCCACTGGGTGATTCAAGCTGGCTATAATTAGGATCCTGCTTTGACCCACACTCTTACTCTCCACTGGAAAAAGGAGACTGAAAAGATTAACATAATAAAGGTAAGTCAGCCTTTCTGAACACTCCTCATACATTATAATAAGATAAAGAAATCAAACAAAGAATAAAGACTTAGACTTAAAAGAAATATATATATGAGAGTATCATAAACCAGAGTCAAGACTTCACAAGAATGACATGCATAAAACAGATAAGTGTTATACAACTGAACTACAAACAAGCAACAGTCAAACATCACTTCTTATATTGTCTGCCATGAAAGGTCTACCAGCATAATAAGCAAACTATAGCAAAATAAGATTCAGTGCCAGTACTCTGTACCAGAACCCCCTCAAGCCATAAATAAAAGCATTCAGCCACAAAGAGTAGAAGCGTTAGTGATTAGAGTTTTAAAGTACCACAAAAACCATCAATGAAACGAAACAGGGGTCAGTCAAAGTACTGTTTCTATGGCTGATGACAACATATGAAAAACACACCAGCAAGCATGATGTAATGTCATATTTTTATTATGCCTCAAGTTTACTTTATGAAAAACAAGTTTCTTCTTCACAGTGGGATCCCAAACAACAACTATTCGTTTTTATTTACTGGCTTTCACATCTCTTGTCCTAAGCAGGCCTCTCATGCCACACTTGTAACTGTAGTGCCCAACTGTCTTCCAGCAGCACATTAGGAAGTACGGGTAACATCCATTATGGACTTCTTGTTCCCACTGTCTCCCTAGGGGAGAAGCATACAGAGCACACTGCTTTGGCAGTTTTCAGTTCATAGACCCCAGCCACATGCTAGCCAACGAGGAATACTGACTACACGTAGCTACTTGATATTCAAATTCAAATAATATGCACACAGCACTTTGAAGTATACACACAGCTGCTGCCACACATAGCCTGGGCATAGCTGACTGTTCAATTACAAGCAATGAGAAAAAAAGTAAGACAAAAGATCTTTTAAAAGTAATTGCCAAACAAATGAAAGGTGTTGGAAATACAGAAAGCAGAAAAGCAACAGGAAGAATTGGTTCAGAAAGAATGAAACAAATCCATAAACACAAGATTAGTCTTGAGACTTAGTTCAATAAGAGGATGAAGTCCATCCAAGGCATTGTCAACAGAAAGAGAAACAAGACAGGTGAAAAGAAAGGGAAAAATATTTTCTCCACAGTTGTTGATCATAAAGACATAATATCACTGAGAGGGATCTCCTAGCAGTGAAAAAAAGTTGTGTTGACTTTCAGGATTAGAGAGTTTGGGTAAGGGAAATGCATAATTTCCTCCTTAGAAGAGAAGTTTCAGAGCAATGAATGAAAGGGATGAAAGGACAGATTTGGAAACTATCAATGCTTTGGAGTCTTTTAATAGCAAATGCAACTATACTCTGCTGTCACATAAGCTAACATACCCAAATCATGTCCAAAAAGTAGATTTGTTATGTTTACTCAGCGACTTAAAAGTCTCCTTAAGTGATTAGAAAAACTGCATTTAAGCATTTATAGCTTCCTCTCTATACAGTTTTAATACTGCTCTTGAATTCAAATATTTATTAGTGGTTTCAGTACTAACAAACCATTCGGTTTCCTCCCAATTTTCAATGGTAACCAAAGCCAAATTATAGAAAGAAAGCTGTAAGACTAAGTTTCCTTTACAAACTGCATTTGTAGAAAGAATTAGACTCTTCCTGGCTATAGCTTTGTACTTACTTGATAAATTAACAGAATGAATTACAGAAACTATCCCAGATGGGTTATTCAGTATGAGATGTTATTCCTAAAATAAGCACTTTTTCCAGCAAATGGTTTTATGAAACAGCACACTGGCATGAAGGTGTCTCTCCATTCATGGACTGCAGATACAGTCACAGTGGAAGAAACAGACACATCTTACATATACAAAGCTTAATTTTACACAGGAAATAATATAACCAGCATATGTTACAGAGCCATACTGACAACACTATTTCTGCCTTATCTCTGATGCTCCCTTTTCTTTTCAAGCATTTCTCAATTTCTGACAAGTAACTTCAGTAACAGAGTACATATTTTCAAATGCTTGCTCAAGGATTTTTTTTTCTTTAAATGTGCCTTCATCAGGAGTTCTGAAGGAACTGGTAGCAACATATACATCACCAAGAACTGACAGGACAGCACAAAAATCTCGATAAACAATGTTGTTTAAATGTTTGCCAACACAAAATATAGGAAGTTTCACAACCTAGAACATGAAAGACAATCTGTCAAACTTATTTTATTCTGCTTAATCTCCTGCACATGTAAACCTGTTCTGGAAGAAACATCTTACTCCATGCAGTCCTTGGCTTCTTAAAAATAAACGAATAAATAGATGCAGTGTAGGCCAGATTAAGTCTCACATCTCTCGCTACCACTGACTGACAACAACAGAAGTGCTAACATAACTGGGCAAAACTATTTAGTACATGAGATTGCTTAAGTCACCACACAGGCTTTATGCTGGTAAACACCTCCTCATCCCTCATTAATTCTACTTGCCTCCCCAAAAAGCAAGCATGGCCTCAGATTCCTAAGATTGCTCAACGGCAGTAACACAAATCCATCCTTCCTAATCTGAAGACAGCTAATAAAACTTTTCTTTTTCTTCATAAACACCAGTCAGCCCTGCATAGCTCAAAGTAAAACAGTAATCTGAATAAAACAACTCTGTTTCGATCAGTATCTCTTACTGCTCATTTTATTATTCATTGAAATGAATAGAGAGATGGACAACACAAAACATTAGGCTGACATTCCGCACACATGCATATTGCAAAAACAGTTGTATATGTCAACAGGCACATGTAAATATTACCTTGAGTTGAAGCAGAAGGATGCTCCTGTGGCTTTTCTTGTGATAAAAGCCCCAGGTAGCTGAGAACTACGTATTTTGTTTCATAGTGAAATCCTACAGGCACAGCAGTAGAGGACGCCATCAGGTTGGCTTGCAGTGTCTTAGTGCTCTTATTGGGCACGTAGGCTTTTCTCCGGGTTACTGAACACTGTAAGAAAAAAGGAGAGTGGTTTGCTTGTTGTTTCTTTTTTTTTTTTTTATAAAGTTGCAATAGGTCATGAACTCATACATAACAAGGAATTATGTAACAATCATGAAGTAATATCCAGAGTTTTGCCTTTATATCCTATGCATTCTTATTTTAATAAAAACTACGCAGAGTAAAACCAAATGCCTTCAAGTCTAGTGCTCTGACTGCAGTTAGCAGTGGAATTTCTCACTTCTGCTTGGCATACATACTCTCACATTAAAGCAAATTGAAGAGTTCCTCACCGTGTGTCTGCCTTCTAATACCTCCCAACTCAACCACATACAAAAATACAGGTGTAGTCATGCAGAGCGGTTTGAAGGGTTCTGAAGACTCACTTAACTGCAGTTTGAGGTAAAAGGAACAGCCTTCAGAGGAAACTCCTTTCCCCTAAGCCTCACAAGGGTATTTTCCTCACTCACTGCTTTCTCAGATTCCATATTACAATGCAAAAAATTTCTTGCAGGAAAAGAGACAACTGTCTCAAACTCATTTTACTGTTCCAACAGCAATGGCAAACACATGGTCAACACAGGAAACTCTACGGTCGTTGCTGGGATTGGAAGAACAGATGGCCGTGTGTCCTGGATTTCTCACCAGACATTAATACTCATAAAACAGAAAGCTGTCTCTAATAGCGACATCTGGTCAAAGAATGACCTTATTTCACTATTGGTTTAGTTGCTTCTTCAAACACTCAAATAACAACAGCGGGAGAAGCTAGGAGAAATAGAAATTAAAAACAGTCATCAGTGACAAGGAAAAACTAAATGAATCTCAAAAGACAACACATAAGTGAGGAAAAGGCAACAAAGCAGATTGAAACAAAGCGTCAGACTAACCAACATGTTCTAGCATTTTGTATAAGGAACAGCCTGGATAACTACTTCCAATCAACCTGATAAACCCAACAGCAACAAGAGCTTCCAAATGAATTTTCATCATCAAGCTCTCCATCACTTCAAACAGCCACTCCCAGATAAGCAGCAGCTCACACCTGGCCATCAGAATTGATGCCTAACTGGAAGGCCAGCAGGAACGCTCGCACTGCTGAACAGGTACATAACAGATATTGAAGGAGCTAGAGAATTTATAAGCTTCAGAATATGGATATGTTTAGAAGAAATATTTAAGTCAATTTTAAAACTTCCAGCTATAATGGGAAAAAAGAGTTGGTGGCAAATTGGCTAAGAGTTCCTTCTTTAAACTATAACAGCTCTACTTTCTGAAACTTGTTCATTATTGAAAACAGAGGATACTTTCCTGAAGACTATATTCTGGGAAGCCCTTCCTCTTCTTGTGCATTTCAAATTCTTGAAATCCTTCACCAGAAATATTCACTTGAGTCTTTGCTACAGCTAGAACTGAAACAGTGATTTATATTGGAAAGAATCAATGTCAAAAACTAAAGGTAACACTTGACATATCGTGCTTCAGAAGTGCAAGAGGTTACAGCAAAGGACAAACACGACTTTTCTATAATATGCAGCTACCCTTCAGCCACTACCACAAACTGAGATTTCAATAAACATGAGAGATTTGGAAAGAACTGCTCAGGAGACTTCAGGATCATTAACAATAGATGTATTCCCCAGGCCAGATCCCCAGCTGCAATCTCCACATCTGCAGATGTGAAAGATGCCATTCACCAGAAAGCAAAAGCTCCTCAGTACGTCTCAGTTTTGTTTTGCTTACAGAGATCCACAGTCCTGAAACTAAAGCAATTTCTGCAATGCCTACACAATGAATGGGAGCCCTTCAAGCCAACCTGTACAGACCCGTTCAGAAAGAATGAGCCTGATGGGTGGTCTACAGAAATCCAGACACTACGATGCATATCAAAGACTGGCTCTGAATATATATAATAAACATCAGTCTTCAGAACAGATTTTCAGAGAAAATTGAAGAAGAAAAAAATTTGTCAAAACAAGAATGAAATTCTATACCAGCACAGTGATCCATGTGCAGCGGTGAGGTCTAACTCATGAAAATTTCAGCACGCTTAGCTCAGCACCTCTGGAGGGGGTGGAGGAAAGAGAGTCAGACCACAACTTGTTTAAATAGTGGCTTAATGTTTCCCTGGGAAAGCAATGGATAAAAAACAACAACAACTTCAATTGAAGAAAAGTAACCACTTGGGCAGATGCACATTGAGAGGTAGTTTTATACTGAATGACAAGGAACAGTCAAAAACTTGAATAGAAGGACTATCTTAAGCTTCGCAAAAAAGAACAACAGACTGGAAAAGTCACTCACTGGTCTTCCTTCCAGAGAACACCATAACTGAATTACTCATTTTAAATTGCGAACTATTGTTTTTGTTTTCAAAAAGACATAGACAAATACTGACTCAGATACTGTAAGTATTGCAGAAAAGACCATTTTTCAGGAATGACTGGGATTAGAAAAGGACGCACAGCTTGAACAACCAGATCAGAGGGAGAAGAGCTTTCCACTAGAGGAGCAAGATGTAAAAGAGGCCAGAAACAATTTAAGAGAATAAGACAAAGGCTTGCTTGGGAGATGTAATGAATCAGAGGAAACAAGGCATTGCAGGACTACACAAGCCTTCAAAACATGGCCAAGGAGGTTACTTCTGGTTCAGAAAATTTTTGCACTGCTACTTAAAAAACTAAAGAGATCATCACAATGAGGTGAGTTTTCCTTCGTAGGAAGTAATTCACAGTATCTCTAACTCTGCACCCACGGGGGAGAAAAACCTACCCCTGTTCAAGCTGCTGTTGCCCTTTATTCCTTCAACCAACCACGCTGCTTGTTATATGTGGGTTGAGCCATTCAACTGACCTGAACACAGCAGTCCTAGTCAGACTGTCGTTTCCTCATGCAATCTGTCACGTCCTAATCCACAGAAGAGTAACATGTTAGTTAGAGGGCGATGCAAATCTACCCACGAATACAGCCAACATAATCCCTTAGAGAAGGGACTCAGCCATATTTCAGTCCTCCCTTGAAAAATCCCAGTGTGCCTCCAGCTGCATTTGCTGCACACCATTCAAATGCCAAAATGCAGCGATACTGCACAGTGGAACAACTCAGCAGTTGCCACCGAGGGCTGCCGCACATCTGACTGTTGCACATCACAGGTATGCTGTGTGCATGTGGAGCTGCAGCCTTGCAAACTATTTTGCTGTATGCTTATAAAAATAGCAGTTGATCAATACCTCGACCAATTTCTGTGTAACCTGCCAAAAACAGGTCCAGAACCAAGAGCACAGTACAGACCGCCTTCTTTTTAAGAACAAGGCCCTGTCACGACAGTATCTAAGTCTTGCTCAAAAACAGTCATTCCAAGACTCGAAGCAAGTTGTCAAGCTTCACTTACCAGCTACAATCTCACCTCAGAACACTTCCTGCTGTTGGGGAATTATTTCAAAGTACACGCGGCCTCATTCAGTAACTGCTCAGCCGAGCACAGACACTGAGATTTAGGGAGGCAACAAACCTGCAGCACTGGAGTTCAAAACACTTTAAGGAAGCTCATGGATTTGGTCTGTCTCTCTGTAACAGGTAACTGCTCTCAGCTTTCCTAGTTGGCAACACGTGTCTCTAACTCACAGCCTCACATTTACACAGGAGTTCCTTTTCAGATGTACCCAACTGCAAGGAGGTGCCTGCAGGATGTGCAGCTACAAATCCACACCCTGTGCCAACTTCATGGAAACCACCCAGCTCTCCACCACCTCACCAGAAGGGCTGAGCGGGGGATTGGGATGAGGTGCGTGCGCGGACTGGTCCAACCCTGCAGCAGTTTGCCTCCCAAACACCTGCCCTAGCAGGCAGGGCACCTGGCTGTGGGCTGGCTACTAGACAAACTCCTCAGCCTACTTTTCTGAGAGTACTAATGACTAAGAGATTGCTTTCAATAAGCTGTGAACTACTGAGTCCAAACACGCCGATCCCAAGTGGAGATGAATCAATGCTACATCCATTACCAGTCCCCAGCGTCACGTAATGGATGGTAGCACTGGAAAGCGTATCTGGGCGGTGGCTTTGGTTGGCCTTAGAAGGAGCTGTAATTAAGTGAGCATTTTAGGCGAAACGTTTGACTATCTTTTAGGAAGAAAACCAAGACCTGTGCGGGCTATCCACCAGAAAGCTTCTGTTTTCAGAGCTGCCAGCCACCTCTCCAAACCACTACAGCACAGCTCTGCTAACGGGCGAGGAACGCTTTTCCTATCGCCCCCCACCATGCCCTCGGCCCGCAGGCCCACACAGCACCACAAAACGGGGCCGGAGCAGCCGCGCGGCTCTGCGGGAGCGCATCGTAAGCCACTCCGTTACTACGGTGATGAATGAGATATTTCTATCCCGGCAGCACGGAGCCGGGATGAGTCAGGCGGCGGCGGGCCGTGCGCGCCGCAGGCCTCATCCCGCGCTCCGGCCGGGTGCGGGGCCGGGTGCGGGGCCGGGTGCGGGGCCGGGTGCGGGGCCGGGTGCGGGCGCACATCCATGCCCCCTCCCCCCCCGCTGCCGCCTCTCCTCCCGCCGCCCTTCAGCGGCCGCAGCCCGACGGCCGCCAGGGGCGCGCCCGCTCCCTCCCCCCCACCCGCACGCCTCCCTGCCGGCGGGAACGCGCAGAAAATAATGAAATAAACCGGCGCGCGGAAGTCTCCCGACCACCCGTTTCCCCCCCAACCCCCCGGCCCTTCCTCACCTGCGGCCGCCGCCGAAAGGCGGGGAGAAGGAAGAGAGGAGGGAGGAAGGGAGGGAAGGGGGGGGCAGGCCGGGCGGGGCGAGGAGCGGCGCAGCGCCGGGCCGGGCCGCAGCCGCCGGGGGTGGTGGGCGCGCGCGCGCGCGCGCGCACCGGGCAGAGCTCGCTCTGCCCTAATTTGCCGCCGCCGCCGCCATGATGGTGGGGCCGGGGGAGGAGAAGGCGGTGCGTCACGGCCGTGTCACCGCCCGCCGCAAGGGCGAGGACGCCGGGAAAGGCGTGGTTAAACTGGGGAAGTAGGAACAAGAAGCGTGGGTACGAGCTGGTGTGTAAGGAGCGGCTCCGTTGTTTGTTTCAGGAAACGCAGCTACAGAAGGGAAAGAGGCGCTCCCTGCCAGCCAGGGTGAACAAGAGCTATGGTGGGCACGCGTAAAGTTTGGCCGTAAAACAGAAACAGTAGCAAAACTCGAAAAAACCAGCGCATCTCTTAAAAATGGGCTTGGTCACAGCGCGACAGGAGGTCACAGTAATCGAAAAAGGCCTGGAACCCCGCGGCTTATCGCCGTGAGGCGCTCGAACAGCCCACCTCACGGCACGGCTCCAGGCCAGCCGCGCCGCTCCCATGCAACGCTCCACGTGCGAGCGCCACCGGGCTGCCCGCGGCCGCGAGATGGCAGCCTGCCTCACGTGGTGCCCCGCCCGCCGGTGACGTCACGCAGAGCACAGGCTCCTATTGGCTAGGGGGAAAGAGAGGGCGGGGCGCGGTGACACAGCGGCAGCTGTGACCCGAACCGGATTTGATTCCAGCCGTGCTCGCTGCCGGCTCTGTCCGCAGTTCCTCGGGCCCCAAGCGCTTTCCTTCGCGCCCGCCGCCGCCATGGCGCTCAGCGATGCCGACGTCCAGAAGCAGGTAGGGCTCGGCTCGGCTTGATGGGTGGGTGGAGGATGATTGTGGCGGAACGGCGGCCTGTAGGCTGCAGCCGGCTTCGCCTCGAAGCTGGCCCGGGTGTTGTGCTGTCTTCAGCGCATAGTTGTTCTTTGAGGCAGGTAAATACGTTGCCCTGCATAAGCTCTGCTTTTCTAGATGTTACTTTAAGGGCTCTGCTCCTCTGTTTTCGTAGGGCTACGCTAATTCGATCTAACTGGAACTTAGCATTCGTCTGTCCTTTTTACTTCTGTACCCTCAAGCCGAGCGGTGCAAACCGGGCTACTTCAGCAATGGAAACTTTTAAGGCTGAATTCTGAACATTGGAAGCTTCCTGCTGGGCCAGGGCACTGTGTCCTTATTGACAGTAAATAGTGCCCCTGCCCAGAATCCTGCTCAGCACCGGGCTGGATGCGGCGTGTGCTGTTAGCAACTGCACTGATCCAGCCAGCACCGGTCCTGCAGGCAGTGGGCAGACCTCCCAGGTGTCCTCTGCATCATAAGCGCTTTGTGTCTCACTTTCTCATTCAGTAAACATAGTCTCTTGGCAGGGAAGCGTCACATTGAAAGTAAAATCAGTAGGTCGTCTTTCTCCAGAAGGGGAATTGCCGCATTGTGTTTTCTTATTTTTATTATTATTATAATTATTTCCTTCCTCTTTCGTGAAGATTGTAAAAATAAAGCTGACCTTGTGTTGGCATTGCTCGGCTACCTTGGGCATAGACTTCAAAGCCAGGCTGGATGTGGCTCTGGGCAGCCTGGTCTGGTGGTTGTCAACCCTGTATATAGCAGGGGGTTTGAAACTCGATGATCATTGTGGTCCTTTTCAACCAGGCCGTTTTATTTTTCTATGGTAGACTTCATGGGCTAGTGTGGGCTTTGTGGATATGTGAAACACACAGTGTTAGTGGACTTTCATACCTATAACTTTCCTGCCCTTGTTTTGCACTGCTGAACCTAGCTGGGTTGATCCTGTTGACTGGAAAAGAGTGCTGCTGGTAGCACACTGGTTCTGCCTGTGCATAAATCCTGGCATGAATTTGCCAGCTGGGCCTCTGAACTTTTAACTACTTACTATGGCACTCTCAAAAATTTTCCCATTGAAACCACCTTTAAGTAAGAGATTTTCTCAATAATACATTTGCTTTCTTCTGGCAACAATGTTTAGTCGATTCTTCCATCTAACCTTGCTAGTCATGCAAGGCCAAAGCCATCCTGACATCTAGGACTTCCCATGGAAAGGATAATCATTTTCTTCAAAACAAGGCTGTTCACCAAAATTATGTCCATGTTTTATCTGCCTCTCTCAGATTTTCTTTCTTTAAAACAAGTAGATCTAAAGCTTAATTCAATCAGCCACCCAGGTCAGGCAAGCAGGATAAGAAGTTGACATTGTAGGTGGACTTGCAAACCCAAGTGCTGCAGACCAGAATTCAGATAAAAATGATTGACTTCATTTTGAGGATGTAGAAACCTGTTCATTTCTTCCACAGCGTATGCCTAATATCTTCCACTTTCCTGCTACCATTTGTTTTTTAATGTATATGGCCACAGTGCTGTCTGCCTATGGGTTCTGTTCTCTCATCAGCACTTTTCTTTAAGAAGCTTCATTTTGGCATGAGATTACATAAATAGGATCTTGCATTCAAGTTTGTTCAGACCAGGTTGTGAAACATAACTTGTCATTAAGTGCAAGTGAAAAGGAGGTGTTTGTGGTACAGTTGAGTCTACAATCCACTTCATCCGTGCTTGGAAATGGCTGTGCTGCTAGAAGTTGTGGTTTGACTGGGCAATGATTCCTTATGGTCTGCTCCAGATTTGAACTGAAACTTAAACCTGGCCACAGAATGGTGCAAGATAAACAAGAAGAACTTAATACAATTGGATTCTATGTCTTTGAGCTGTTGGACCTGTGGAGCAGTTTCAAAAAGTATCTTTAATTTGAATGTGTTAATGCAAACCAGTCTCTAACTATCATGTCATGTGCTTGCTGTGGTCTCTATCAGCAGGATTCATTCAGGTGCCATCTGTGCCTTTCTGAGGGATACACTTCTCATCAGATCCTTTCTAACAGAAAATACCTTTTCTCTCTCTTGTTACAGATCAAGCATATGATGGCTTTCATTGAGCAGGAGGCCAATGAAAAGGCTGAAGAAATAGATGCAAAGGTAAAAGTGGAAGTTTAATGTCAGTAAAAGGAGAACTGCTTCTGACATCCTGGTTTGATAATTGCACTCAAAGCAGTCCTAGGAAACTTTTCTGTAGTTTACTTAAGATTTAGTTATTGTATAGCAAAAATGATGCTACTGTTAATGTTTCTTATCTGTTTACAAATCAAAACAAAGTAACTGAGCTGGAGCTGTACTTTTGCCCAAGTTTCTTGGCAGTTCTTGGACATGAATAAATTCACATTTAAGTTCACTTACATTTTTATGCAAACAGGAGAGCTGAATAGCAATGTGAACAGACTGGAGTAAGTGGAACACTTTCCCTGCTTCTTCTACATAACTTGAGAACACAAAGAATTGAGAGAATTTCCTACATAATTTAGAATTCCGCTTCTTGCTACAAGGTTTCTTGTAGCAAGCTGTTCCCTTGTTACTCTGAATTTGGCTTGACTTCCATTGTATGTTAGGCTTATCATCATCAGTAGGAAATCAAAATCAGAGCAAGGATGTTTGTAATCAAGCACAAGTTCATGCTTGCAACAAAATGGAAAAAAATAAAAATAAAAATGAAAATTAACTATTTGAATTACCTTGGTGAAAGCTTGTTTGTAAACAGGTTTGTAACTGTACCTAAATCTGTGTAGCCACCTGCAAACACAGTTGTAGATGTGGTTTAGTAAGTATACGTTTGTATTTAAGGCATGGGTTGAATTATTTGCAGAATTCCTCACTGACATACTCACAGACATACTGATGAAATAAACTGTATCTTAGTAAGGTTCCTTTTGACTTGAGTTTTGATTGAGATGTTTTGTTTATAGGGAACCATAAATTATATGATCCTAGTTTATCTGTGAACATGTTCTTAAAGCGTGGCCATTTCATCTAATTCTATTTCTTTCAACCCGTGGAATCAATATACACTTCAGTTCTTTAATTTTTACTGCAGGCTGAAGAAGAATTCAACATTGAAAAGGGTCGTCTTGTTCAGACACAGAGGCTGAAAATCATGGAGTACTATGAAAAGAAAGAGAAACAAATTGAGCAGCAAAAGAAAATGTAAGTTGCTTAGGCTAGGTGGTTGGCTTCAGAGCCTGAGCTCTTCTCTTATTACTAATTTTCTACAAGACTCTGGTAAGTGGACAAATTGCAGCTTAATGTATTGAGTTCTAATTCCAAATTTCTAATTTTTCTGAGGAGTAATTATCAAAGGTGAGCAGCAATTGTATAACTGGTAGGAGATTTGGTGAAAAAAATCTCTTAGTTCTTTATGTCTGTCTAAAACTGCAGCTTGGTCTGTTACTCTTTCACAAATGGTTGTGTCAGGTTTTGTTTTGGTGGGCCTTTACTGAACAGTGAGGTTCTGCATTGTAATCATTTGCACGAGTTCAGACACAAGTTAAAATATTTAAGCAGGCTTTGTTATTAAACGTTGTTGTATTGCTACTTTTAAATGTATGCAGTTCAATGTTGTAGTTTTTCTGTCTGTATTCAAAGCCTGGTAAGCTGATTCAACTTTATCATGCAACTTGCAGTCAGATGTCCAACCTGATGAATCAGGCAAGACTGAAGGTCCTCAAAGCAAGGGATGACCTTATTTCAGTGAGTATGCCTGCAGTAAACACACCAAGGTTTGATTCCTACCATCTGTTAGGAAATGAACTTCTTCATTCTGGGAAGGAAAACATGGTTTGTGATTGAGTAATGTTTGCATCAATGTACAGCAGTGGCTTCCCCAGCTAATCTGAAAAGTCACTGAAGGTATGATCCAGGTTCACTAATTTGCTTTAGCTTGTTTTCACAGTCTCTATTGCCTGTTCTTTTAAAAGGGAAACACAGCTCTCTGCTGGGAGCTTTACAGGCATCTGTTTTATCTACTGTTTGGACAATAGCTTATTTCTTTTATGGACTTGAAAGAACTGTCTTTTACACGCTGTAGAACTTTGAAGTTCTGTTTGCTGACGTTAAGGCTGGTGTGCTTTAATGCACTGTTTTCCAGTTTGTTTTTTTCTCTCATCTTTAGTGGCCTTAGTAAATGGAAAAGTTTGCTTCTTTTTCTGCTAAGTAAGTAACCAGTCTGTGTATAAATGTATAGGGTGAGTGATCATTTACCAAGGCAGGCTGCTGTTTAGTCTTGCTGTGTTTATCTTGCACCATGTGCAGGTATTCTTATTTGTTTATCACGCAGCCTGAAGGTTACCTATCACCACTTTTCTTATCCCATCTTAAACAGTTGCAGTGTTCTATGTGCTGGCTGGGTGGTGCTGTTGAGCTGTTGGAGAAACACATCGAATGTAAAACACTTGGTAATGATGTTCGAGTCAGCTCTGCTGTGGAAAAGGAGTTAGTAGAAGAAAGTGGCTAGTTTCAAATTTTTGATTGTTCTGACAGTGAGGAGGAAGGGGGTGGCTAACAAACGAGCTGCATTGTGTCTCTGCTGGGTAATCTCTTCCTCATGTGTCAGCTGATTCAATCTCATGCTTCTGAGTAATACATAACGCTCTTCCTCATTTAAAACCCTTTAAAGTCACATGCTAGTTGTTCTTGCTTCCCTTATTGGCTCTTTACCGTTCTCCATGAAGAATAAAGGTGATCCCTTCCAGAAATGCTGTGTTGCTCTGTAGTTGGTAGTGTAACTGTATTTTGAGCACGTTGTTGAATTGTGATAGTCTTATACTTTACAACTGATTGCATTGATGTGCACTTTTCTATTAAACACTGTAAGGCAGAACAGTAAAGAAGGTTTTATACCAAATCATACAATTGCTTCTTCTGAAGTAATTATAGGAGTGGTTCACCTCTAGGAGCTGTATTTGAGTTGAATCTTAAAGAAATGTGATCAGTCTCTTCTGATACTGATTTATTGAAACAAAGGCATTCAAGAACATCTACTCTGAATTAAAAATATGCTTTTACTTTTGATTTTCAAGTTGCTTTTTTACAAAATTTTTTTTTTTAATGCTTGGTAAAAATATGGGTTAAACTTCTTTACTTGATCACAAGGCTGGAAAAAATAGTGATTTGGACAACTTTATTAGTTTAGATTAGGCAACAATTTATAGCTTATGTAGTTGCTCTGTGAATTAATATAAATACCATCCTTTTACTGCTGAGGTCTCTTTCAGGAAAAAAAATTGCTGTTGTCTGGTTATTCTGGGTTCAGATCAGGGCAGAGAATGGGGAAGTGTTTGGAAAGGACATTGTGCCATGCACATAGATGAAGGTCTAGCTTGGATGAACACCAGCTGGAGTGTACATTTACGTGTTGGCAGGGTGCGATAGCTATAATAGGAGTATAGAAAGTTGGTAGGCATGAAACCAAATGCCAAACAGATGGGCTCTGCTGATCTGATTTTCTTCTGAATGTAGGATTTGCTGAATGAGGCCAAGCTAAGACTTGCCAAGGTGGTGAAGGATACTGCCAGGTACCAAATACTGCTGGATGGACTGGTTCTACAGGTAAATATTTAAATCATAGCTAATAAATGATTGCAGCTTTGTTCACCTTGGTGTCTTCAAACGGAACCAACTGTAGAGGTTACAGTTGGATACAGCTACTGTAGATCAAACGTTACTGGATGATCTTTGAGTTTTAAACATCACTTCTGCTATATCTTTTGATCTTAGATTCTGAACAGGTACAGCTGTAGTTTATTCTGAAGCGTAAGATGTAGTATACCAGCAGCTGGCTTCCATTGTAAGAATGATTACAGATGTGCACGCATAAATCATATGTAAGATGCATGTTTAGGATGCATGCTTTAAGCTTTTGTGGTAATTAGCTGGAATGAGCTACTCAGATGAAGCTTTGGGTAAAGCTGTTTCTTCAAGCCTAGAAGTCAGTAGTTACCTGCAAAGCTAGTCCTAGCTTTGATGTATTCACTGCAGTATGGCACACATTTGTGACACATGCGAAGTATAGGTAAAATATAGATTCATAATACCATTCTCTAGCACTAGAACTTATGCTAAAAGTCCAGAAAGTGTTGTCTAGGGTCACTTGTGCAGCCACTAGTGCCACCATCTGGTGTGAATTAGTCCTTTTTACCATAAACACAGAGAAACAAGCCCCAAACTGTCCTGTCTGCAGCTTAATGGCAGAGTGCTTTTAATAGCGTTCCCAGCTGGTGCTTCCGATTCCCTGTTTTTGTTTCCATGCCACATTTAGCTGATATGAAACAAACCTGTCTCACTTGTGCAAACTAGCCACGTCCATCTTGGTTAGATTTGATCTGCTGAAGGATCAGTACTTGTGTATTACTACAGGCACTACAAGGCAGGAGTTACAGGAACTGAACTGAAACTACAGCATGTCTTCTCTAAGACCTGCAAAGGAAAATGACAGTTTGCTCAGTTTGCCTGGACAGCAGTCATCCTTTTATAATGGTGTATATTATCTGGGCAGCTCAATCTTGTGATATGCACATTTAGTTGCACTCAGGTTCCAAACTTTAGGCTAACATAGGGAACGTATGATTGGTAGTCAAAGGCTTTCCTGGATGTTGCTGCCATCTTCTTGGAATACCTGCATGGGGTGAACTTACAGTTCTTATTGGAATAGGCTAGCATTGCCAGATCTTGTTCTTCAAATGGATCAGCTCCTTTCCTTTTTCAGGGTTAAATAATTCTAAGATGATTAAAATGACAATTTTCTGATAGAGTGGTGGTTATCTTGTGCAGGGATTCTACCAGCTGCTTGAGCCTAGAATAGTTGTCCGGTGCAGGAAACAAGATCTCCCTATGGTTAAGGTAAGACACCTACAGTGCTATGATAGTATCCTTGCTTGTGAAGGCTGAGACCTGCCTACAAGTATTTGCATGTCACATCTGTGTGACATGAAAACAAGGAAAGCATGCTCTCAAGCTGCACTTCTGCTGCAGGTACAATGTGAGAGAACAAGTATACATTTCAAGTTGGGAATCATTTCCTTGCTTGGGTGTTACCTAGGAAACTTCAGACCACTACAACATTAATAATAATAATAATAATAATAATAATAATAATAAATGTTCTCAGCTCAAAAGCTGTACAGATTGCCTAATTAGAAAACAGAACAAAACACCTCAATCCCTTTTTTTTTTTTTTTTTTTTTTTTTTTTATTCCAAATGAATAAGCAACCAAATCCTAATGATGTGCTAGCATTTATCCACGTTAATGGCATGCTTCTCTTGTGTCCTAGGCTGCTGTACAGAAGAGCATTCCTATCTACAAAAATGCCACAAAAAGGGATGTGGATATTCACATTGACCAAGACAACTTCCTGCCAGACGAAATGTAAGGAAAATGGGAGTCTTTTACTGAGCCCAAACTTAATACAGCTATTAGAACAATCTTGGAAAATGATGTGTGTAGTATCTCCACAGTATCTACTGCTGTTCTAGTGGATCAAAACTATTAATAAAAGCTTCCTGCAACCTCCAGCCTGTTGCATAGTACTGAAGTATAGAATAACTGTACATAAAAGCTTAATTAACTGTTGGCCTTTTAGAGTGGGAGAATAGAAATGTAGCCATGCTTTCTGTCTCTGGAGGAAACAGACTGAGTCCTAAGGAGGAAGGCAAGGTGCTGCAGGGTAACGACACAAAGTAATTTGTGTTTGTTAGGCCTGCTAGGCTTTATTTCCCTAATTAATTAACATGGAACAAAGCTGCCTATTCTGAAAATTAGTGATCATTTCTAATGTATGAACAAGCAAACAGAACTTCCAGTACTATTCTTCACTTTCCAAAATCTGAAGGAATCTTATTAATAATAAAATGCAAAGTCTGAAACTGTTTTGAAGTGACAAATTTCACAGCACTGCTTGTATTTACATTGTGCTAAAGAGTATCTTTGTATGTAGCTGTGTACCTGGTAGCTGTGAAGTTGTTTTTGCTCTCCTGCTTCACTGCATTACTTTGTGTTGACTCATTAAGAGTCATGATCAAAAAATGTTTATGAACAAGAGTTACCTATATCTCTGGCTTACCAATAAGTGCACATTTTGGATAATGTCTTTGCCACGTTATAGCTTGGAGATGCATCATGGATTCCATGACTTTTATTTTTCCTTTCTAGTGCTGGAGGTGTTGAAATCTACAATAGTGATGGTAAAATTAAGGTTTCTAATACCCTGGAAAGTCGGCTGGACCTTGTAGCCCAGCAGGTGAGTTTCTCTCACAGCTAAAGTGAGAAGAGGATTAATTAACTGGTTTTATCTTGTAATTAAATCCTAATATTGTGTGGGATCAGATTTCAGTGTGGCTAACAAGAAGCTGATCATTTGAAGGGACAGAAGATTACTTATTGCTTGTGCTTCTCTACAGCAAACATGGCTTTTCCCCAAAAATATACTTTTCAGATTGAGAAAGAGCAAAAAACTCTAGAAGAGATGGTAATGAAAGGCTTCTGTGATTGTGCTGCAGACAAGATGCTGATATACTGCGTTTAACTTTGTTTATTGAAGCTAGCTTCAGCACAAGGAACTTTGGCTGAGATGCTTTTATATCCTAGTGGAAATACTAGCTGTGGCATCTCTTCCTCTTGCTGCAGTGTAGGCAATCCTTTCAGTGTGCAGACTAGCAGGCAATATGAAATCACATAAAAGCTTCAGAAAACTCAAGTAAATTACCTTCTTAATTTTGAAGACTAACCTAGCTGTCACACAATTCCTGTAGTGAGGAATGCTCAGCAATTGTGTTGCATATAACTGATGTACTCTTTTTCAACAGATGATGCCAGAAATCAGAGTGGCTCTCTTTGGTGCTAATGCCAACAGGAAATTCTTGGACTAAACCTCTGTAAGAAAAGGTGGGGTCTGTTCCACTGCCATAATGAAGGGATGCAAAAGCATCTGCTAATTTAAAATCTTGAAATGTAACATTACTGTGTCATCCAATCTCTTCTTCAATGGAATAATTTCGCATACCTGCTGTGCTTAGCCTCTCCACTTGTGGTTAGAATGTATAGCTTAAAGAATGCAAAGGCATGTGTGTGCATCCAGGAGTGACCCTAGAAGATGGAGGCTTTTGGGCTCTTTGCTTTCCTTGCACTGTTGTGGCTCTGTAAAGACAAGTGGTCCATTTAAGGTCACTCATCTTACTTTGGCCACGTTTCTCTCAAGTTGTCTGATCTGTGATGTGAATTACTGTGCTGCCCATGGGATGTCCCCTTTCAGTTAAGGTCTTCAGTGTTATCGAGGGCATGCATTCCTTCCCAGGGTTAGTAGTTCAATTCTTGTTACTTGGTCAGGCAGTTTTCTGTTCTGTATATGTGATTTTAAAGACAACAACAAAAAAGCCTGAGCCTGTAAAACACTATTTATTAAAATAAAAATGTGTGTGTGTATATGGAGTTCCTTGTAGCTTCTCTCTGAATGATTGGCAGCAACCTTTGAGAAGTGACCTTGTGTATTTGAGGACTTAATGCTTGTGGGTTCTGTGTCAACACTGTTCTGTGAAGTTAGAATTCAAGTGTATGGAGTACTGTAAGGCTAATTGATTGAATAGTGTGGGATTTATAGGCCAGCCTTTTGCGTAAGGCTCTGAGCTTAATTTTGCTTAGAAGTGAGCCAGTAGTTTTGCTGTTTGATCCTTCAAATCTTTTTCACAAGAGGTTAACACAACTGCACTACTTAGATATAACTATCTATTGCCAGTTACACTTGTGTGCAAAAGATCCAAACCCTACTCCTTTAGTAATTATATTTGAGGACTTCGGGAACAGCAGCTGCCTGTTACAAGTATTCTCTCAACTGTTAACTTTTAACACCTTAAAAGTTAAAGTAACACAACTATGTTCACTTCCTAACCTGTTAGGCTTTGCTGACACTCATCCTTTCCTTCTGCAGGGTTGGCTGGTATTGCCTCCACCTGCTATGGTTTAGGACAGAAAGTTTCTTTAGGTGACTTGCCACGCTTACAAGCCTCTGCCAGAGTACCTCACTCCTCAACTAGTGTTCAGTTTTGAGGCTTGCTATATGGGAATAAGGAACAAATTACTGCTTGAATGTTTTTGAAGTCATTCTCTCAAGCACTGCAATGCTTCAGGAATAGAAGGGATCCTGTGTTTTGCCATGAAGAATAATTGCCAGGGTTGCAGCAGCATTGCATTGTGCAGTACTTTTAACCTGAGGCCCTTTCCTCTCAAGCTGAAGTGCATGCTTTTATGTGGAGTACTTTTTAAAGTTCTTATTTACGTATTAGTAGTCCCTTTGTGTTTAGGCATCAGTTCTTATTTCCATATACGTGGCTACAGTATTTATTCTTGCAGTGCTTTGCCTTTTGTTACGTGGTTCTATGACTAGGCAACAAGACTGAAGTTACACAATTTCTAGATACTTGGATAATCATTTCAGCTTTTGTCTTTGCATCTGTCAGTGATTCATCTCCCTGACTAAGCCCTGAGCTGTGGTTTTGTGACATACCTGTAGTAAAGGAAAAGCCTGTGTGCTTGCATGCTTCACTTTGTTGCTTCCTGCTTCAAATAGTATTGTTCAGAACAGGTCTGATTTTTATCGTTTCTCTTTCTGATGGGTTCATTCAGCTCATCAACTGGGTATCTACCCGTGCTTGAAAAGTACAATTGAACTTATTTGGGTCTTCATTTTCTCTATTGCTAAAGCTAGGAAGAGAAACTCTATGTCAAAATGGAGTACAGTGGATAGAAATAAAATCTTGAAGGGCTAGATGAGAAATTATTGCTCTTGACATCACTACTTGATGCAAAAACTTTAAGCAGATCTACTGGTGACTTCTGGAGAAATGAATGGTCTAGATCTGTCCATCATGCCTTGGAAAGGAAACATTTACATTGTCCTAGTGCTACTGCTTCCATGGAATGCAAATACAGGCAATAGTGTAAGAAATGTAGCTGAAGTCACAGGCAGAATAAGGTAAAGATCAGCACACAGAAGAGACAGGCAGGTCTGTTTGTTGTATGTCACCCTGTGTTGATGGGCAGTATTGTGATATTCAGGTAGGTTTTATTCAAGGGGGAAAAGTGCATGAGGAATTATCAAGACTTTATCTGATACTTGTAAGCGTGCTTTACTGTGACAGAAAGGGATTCTTCATACAGTATTTGATGGTTTTACTCCTTTCATGAAGAAGTGAGACCTTCACAAATCCTAATCTTGCCTATTTTTTGAAAAGCAGAATGAAAACTTATTGTCTGACTGTGGAGCTCAGAGTGGAAGATATTGAACTTACTGCTTACGGTGTACTCTGCTCTGTTCACTTTGCATCTCCCCTTGTATCTTCCTGTGCAGGAAAGAGCAGGAAGTAACCTCTGTCATACTAGCATGCCACAATTAAGCAGCATCAGGAATGATTTTAGCTTGGGGAAAGGACGTTTGTTAGTTAATCACATGGCAGCAGTGGCTCAAAGCCAGCCCTTAAGAAATGGCCTGAGCACTTTATGTATGTGGCATATGAAGTCTGAGCCTAGGGTTCTGTACCCCCCTCTCATGCTAACTGAAGCACTTATTCCTTTATTAACAGAATTGCAGGCACTCTGAGCTTAAGCCATGTCAGCTATGACAAGAACTTCACCAGCAATTCCCTCCAAGAGTGTTAGAAGCACTGGCTGCTTGTAATCATGAGACAAACACATAACAGAACTCTATTAGAAAAAGTGATGTCTGCATTACTTGCAGCATCGTTAGCCTGCATCTCATGCAATGAGGGCGGTTATCAAATTTTATCATCTTAGCAGAGAAAGGGGAATATCCATTCCTGGCTTATCTAGTATAGGTTGCAACCCTGTTGTCTTCATCAAAGCCTCTCAAGTGTTTGGATGCAGGTTTTTAGAAGTAAAAAGTGAAATAAGAAGCCACGTTTCAGGTGGGTTTTGCAGTTCCTGCTGAAGTGTCGCTGCAGCACTACTTTATTATTTGAACTGCACTGCTGATTTAAACAAATGAGGATGCACAGTTGTGTTTTGTTTTTTTTTTTTGTTTGTTTGTTTCTCTTAGTGATTTACCTGATGACCTGGGTCAAATCAAGGAGAATATTGATCTTTATCCATCTTCTTGTAAGCGTGCAAAGTATTCCAGTTGGGTGTGGTAAATAAGCCCTATGTCAGATCGTGTGCCAGCACGTTGAGAAACTAGACAAATAGGGAACAAAGGACATGTTAAATCAGAGTCAGGTAAAGGAATTTAGTGATGACAGAAGCAAGGACTGTGAATGAACGGACAGTGCAGAGCTGATTGTGTCCAGTGCTGGAAAAAGGGAAGCAGAGCTAATGATGCACTTACTCTGCATAGTTGGCAGTGGAAAATTTAAGAACAAGTTTGGCATTAAGTGATGGGTAAAAGACTTAGAATATTACAGAACTGTAGGGGTTGAAAGGGACCTCTGGAGATCATCTAGTCCAACTCCTTACTAAAGAAAATTCCCTGTGGTGTGTTACACAGTAAGCATTTAGGCAGATTTTGAACATATCCCTAGAAGGAGACTCTGCAGCCTCTTTGGACAGCCTGTCCCAGTGCTCTGTTACACTCAGAAGTTTTTCCTCATGTTTGTATGGAACTTTCTGTGTTTTATTTTGTGTCCATTGTCCTGCTGCTAGTAACTGCTACAAAGAGCCTGGCCCCATCCACTTAGTTGGGGATGCCCATTAAGTATTTGTGTGCATCAATAAGGTCCCTCCCCACCTAAGTCTTTTCCGAGCTGAATAGTCCCAGCTCTCTCAGCTTTGGCTTATAAGGAGATGGATCATCTCTGTGATTCTTCACTGGTGTCTCTCTAGAAGATCCCTCTCTTTGAAATGGGGAGCCCACAGCTGGACACAGTATTCCAGATGTGGCCTCACCAGAGCAGAGTACAGGGGAGGATCACCTCCCTCAAGCTGATGGCCACTCTCTTTTTAAATGCACCTCAGGATACCATTGGCCTTCTGGGCCACAAGGGCATGCTGCTGGCTCATGGCCAGCTTGTTGCCTGCCCACCAGGACGCCCAGGTCCTTCTCTGCAGAGAAGGTCCTATTCAGCAGCTCAGCCCCTATCGTCTACTGATTCATGTGGATGTTCCTCCTTAGGTGTAGAATCCTATGCTCACCCACATTGAACATCAAGTTCCTCTCTCATCAGGCTCTCCTCTCCAGCCTGTCCAGGTCTTGCTGAATGGCAGCACAGCCTTCTGGTGTGTCAGCCACTCCTTCCAGCTTTATACCATGAGCGGTCTTGCTGAGTGCACGTTCTGTCCCTTTCATCCAGGTCATTGATGAAGATGCTGAACAGCACTGGAGAGTAAGCCACAGAGTGCTGGGGAATAACTTACTGTACCTCTGAGTCAAAAGCCTTTTTTTGGTACTTAGTTTTCACACTGAGAGCTATTAACATTAATCAGAGAGAGTCAGAATGTGTGACTGATCCTTGGAGGAGTGCGCAAGCATCAAGGTGAGAGGAAGACTAGAAGACAGCCAGAAACTGAGAACTGAGGTTTTCATATCTTTATAAGTCAGCATCAGTTGTCAGAGCTGTAACGTCTGAAGGGAAGCTTTCAGCTGGCTGTCAGGGGAGTGCTGCCCATCAGAAAAGGGGCATTGAAAGAGAGGGAGGGCATGCTGCAGAGAGGAGAAATGAGCAGCACCTTTTGAGATGCTGTCTTGGAGAACAGCACAGATGTGTTTTCCACAGCAAGCCTTGTTACAAGCTCAAGCTGAGAATCTAGCTATAGGAGGCATTGTGATTGCGGGCTCCTGTCTTACTGGGGGACTTCAATCACCCTGACATCTGCTGGAAAAGTAGTAGGACAAGCTGTAGGTGATCCAAAGGCTCCTGGAATGTATTTAAGATAGCTCCCTGAGCCTGGTGATAGACAGCCTCACCTGGGGGGGGGGAATGCAGAGCTGGACCTATTGCTCACTATTGAACT